ATTCAGGTGTTTTTGATAGTTGTGGTGTTCTGTGAATGTCAACTTGGAAGAAAGTTTATAGTGTAAAATCTCTGTGTTATGAATTTGTCTTTTTCTTCTTCGGGTTTTGTCAGTTTTACCTCATGTATTTTGAAGTCTTGTTAGGTACATACACATTTAGGATAGCTATATCTTGTTGATGAGTTGATGATTACAGTATCATGAAATGTTCCTCTATTTCTGGTAATATTCTTCTTTAAGGCCTACTTCTGTCTCATGTTAATAAAGCCTTTGTAGTTTTGTTACTATTTTTGCTTTCATGGTGTATCTTTTAAAAAATTTTTTTAGTTTTAATGCATCTTTATTTTATATTGAATATATTATATTTATATTTTATATTGAAAGTGTATTTCTTGTGGACAGTCTATATTTAAGGCTTGGCCTTTTTATTTAGCTTATCAATTTCTTCCTTTTAAATTAGAGAATTTTCTCCACTATCTAATATGATAGTCACATTGAGTTTTAAATTTTTAGTCAAAATTTATTGAAGTTATCAGGTTGAAAGATCATTTCTTTAGTCTCACTAGCCAGATTTTTTTGTATTCATAGATACATATGGCTAGATTAGTGGCTACCATATTGGGTGGTTTAGATATAGAAAGATCCTATTAGATACTACTTAGATTATTTATGTTTAATATAATTATAGATATGTTTGAGTTTCTCTTCTTGCCAGTCTGTTTTCTATTTGTCCCATTTGTTTTTATTCCTTTTTCTCTTCTTTCTCCTAGCTTCATTTGGTTAGTTGTGTTTTTTTAGCATTCTTATTTTTTTTTTTTACACAGTCCATGGAATTCTACAGGTCAGAATACTGGACTGGGTAGCCAGCTGTTGCCTTCTCCAGGGGATCTTCCCAACCCAGGGATTGAATCCATATCTCCTGCCTTGCAGGCAGATTCTTTACCAGCTGAGCCACGAGGCTTTTTTTTTTTTTTCCAGTTTTTCTCTAGGTTTCTTTTCCAGTCTTTTTTAATTCTAGTTTTGTGGTTTGTCTGCTGATCTTCTGGTGGTTTGTGAGCTCTGGAGATCTCTCTGCTCATGTGTGTGTGCTCAGTTGTATCTGACTCTTTGCAACTCCAGGGACTGTAGCTCATCAGGCTTCTCTGTCTATGGAATTTTCCAGGTACGAATACTGGAGCAGGTTGCCATTTCTTACCTCAGGGAACCTTCCCGACCTAGGGATCGAACCTGCATCTCTTGCATCTCCGGCATCGGCAGGCAGATTCTTTACCATTGCGCTGCTGGAAATAGCACAGCTGTTCCTTGCATGGTAGTCACTCTAATAACTGTTTCCTACATGGTATTTATTCTGTGTATCCCTGTGGACTCGCATTCTAAACAGGTTCAGTTTGTTATTGAGTTAAAGACTACCGGGGTCTCATATACTTTCCTGGAACTCTTTCTCTGTGTAGGTTCCTTTTCATGGATACCCTGTCTCCATCATCATGAAGTTAAAATTCTATTTCTTTGGCTCAGTGAGATTGTCATACTGTGCTTGCTTTACCTCTCCTTGTGCCTTTGTCTGGAAAGTGCCAGCAGGCAAGAACCAGTAGAGTGTAATTGTGACACTCACTTGTTTCTCTTTTCTCAGTCCTGCACAACTGAGAGTCAGTGTCTAGAAACAGTTGTTTCTTATATTTTCTCCTTTTATTTTCATTTCTGTATATTTTTAATCTGATGTGGCATTTATTTTTTCATGACCAATGCAGAAGTCCTCAAGTACCTCGAGACATATACATATTTATATATATATATATATATATATATATATACACACACACACATTATATGTAAAACCTATATTTTACATGTATAAATTTTATGTATTTTATGTGCATATATAACATATATGTATATAAATATGTATATTTTCCTTGGTGGCACTTTTCTGTCTTGGTTCTGTCTTTAGGTTTTGACTGTTAGATGGGAAGAGGAGTGTGGTTACTTATGATGCTACACATGAGAAGAGTCCTGGGACCTCTCTTAGGTCAAGAGTCACATGGATAGTTTATAAATTCTTCAAGGTAAGATGGAGGATTGAAATTAAAATCAGCAAGAGAACTTAGGTCATGTTGTGAGGGGAGGGGAACGTAAATCATGCTGAAGTGGTGAGGTGAGTGAATAATAGTGAAAATTAGCAACAAAATCAGTACAAATGAAGTGGAGGTAGGAGAGCTATACAGAATGGACCATGTGTCGTTGTTGTATAAAGGAGTGAGAGTGTCTGCTGTGTCACAGAGGCGTCTTTCCTTCAGTGCCTGATATTTAATGCTGGGATGCAGGCTGCTGCCTGAAGTCTCTACCCTGAGTTGTTGGAAGAGTCAGTTCAGCTAATTGTAATGCACATTTATTGAATGCTGACTTTTTGCCAGATACTTGCATATACTTGGGAAATAGAAGCACATAGAGTTTGGACTTTTGGGGAACTCATTATTTAATTAAGTAGCCACATCCTTCCAGTGTGTAATCTCATAATGCCGTGGCATGTCAGGGTATTAGGGAAGAAGGATTTCATATGCAGGCTTACTGAGGAAATGATGCCTGAGTTGAGATTTAAAGAGTGAGCAAGAAGCAGCCTCGTACATGGAGGTGTGTGTGCACAAGGACTTGTGGGAGCAGAGGTGTGGGAGTAAGAGGGAGCGTGGTGTAAAGTGTGTGTGTGTGTGTGAATTTAGCTCTAAGGGACTTAGCAGTGTTAGGTTATAAAACAAAAGAGGTGAAACTGTACTGGTTGATAGGATTTTGTAAACCATGAAGTTTGATTTATGCAATAGTAGGTGTATCATCAAATTACATTCACTTGTATTTATTAGAGAACTTCAGAATAGCCATTGGTTAATATAAAATATATAGAATGTAAAGGTAGTTAACTTTTCTTTTACAAAAAGGAAATCAGGTAGTTTAATGGTAGTATGGCCTTCTGGGACCCAGGCTTCTAGTTTTGTCACTCTGTTGTCTTTAAAAAGTGCCTCTTAGATTACATAACAGTAGAGAGGATTCCCTCTTTTTCTTAACTTCCAGAAAGTCCTACACAGTACTTTATTTCCACTTTATTGGAGACTTGATTAAGCCTTTACTTTCCAAGAAGGGAGGCACATTATATCTTCAAATAAAATTGAATCTATTGGTCGGAAAGAAGAGGAGTAAAAATAGTCCTTATGACAGGTAGTCAGAGAAGAGTAGTACTGTGGTCAGATGTGCCCTTTGCATTGCTCTAAATGTATTTAGAGTGGGAGTTGGAGAATGAAAGGGAGCAGGAAAGACAGGGGCTATGGAGGCTAATTTGGTTTTTCCAGATGAGAAATAGCAGGTCTGATCTAGGGCTGTTGCTTTAGGGATGAAGAGGAAAGAGTATATATTAGTTGGAACTATTGGTTGTAGGTAACAGAAACAAAATTTAAATTGGTTTCAGTTCACTTCAGTTGCTCAGTTGTGTCCTACTCTTCACAACCCCATGGACTGCAGTTCACCAGGCTTCCCTGTCCATCACCAACTCCTGGAGTTTGCTCAAACTCAAGTCCATCGAGTTGGTGATGTCATCCAACTGTCTCATCCTCTGTCGTCCCCTTCTCCTCCTGCCTTCAGTCTTTCCCAGAATCAGGGTCTTTTCCAATGAGTCAGCTCTTTGCATCAGGTGGCTAAAGTATTGGAGCTTCAGCTTCAGCATCTGTCCTTCCAGTGAATATTCAGGACTGATTTCCTTCAGGATGGACTGGTTGGATCTCCTTGCAGTCCAAGGGACTCTCAAGAGTCTTCTCCAACACCACAGTTCAAAAGCATCAATTCTTTGGCACTCAGCTTTCTTTATAGTCCAACTCTCACATCCACACGTGACTACTGGAAAAACTATAGCTATGACTAGATGGACCTTTGTTGGTAAAGTAGTGTCTCTGCTTTTGAGTATGCTATCTAGGTTGGTCATAACTTTTCTTCTAAGGAGCAAGCATCTTTTAATTTCATGGCTGCAGTTACCATCTGCAGTGATTTTGGAGCCCAAGAAAATAAAGTCTGTCACTGTTTCCATTTTTTCTCCATCTATTTTCCATGAAGTGATGGGACCAGATGCCATGATCTTAGTTTTTTGAATGTTGAGTTTTAAGCTAACTTTTTCACTCTCCTCTTTCATCACTATTAGAGCATAAAAGTCTCATAGGACATATAGCAATGCACCTGAGTTTTAGGAATACCTGGAACTAGAGTCACGAATGCTTTCATGAGTCTTCTTGCTATTTTCCTTTTCTTCCCCTCTTTGTTCTGTTTTTGTTTTTCTTGATACTGATAAATTTTTACTGAATTCTGTGCCTCATGATAGAAATGGTCTCTGCCAGTGTCTTTCCAGTTCTCCTTAGTTATAGGGTAAACCATTTTAGATTTCTGGAGAGTGACTAAGATTGAAATTGGTTGGTTTATGTAATAACCTCTGAAACAATCTGCTCTGGCCAGGGATGGAGGTGGATCCCATGATAATCATTTGGTGTTCACTGTATGGTATAGTTTGGAAAATCTTTTGGAAATACGGTAGTATGTTTAGATGGCAGGGGCAAGATGATCCTGAAACTTCTGACTTGGGTAAGTGGGTGGGTAGTGATGCCAGGATGCTTAATTCAAATATATAGGAAGAAGGACAAGTATTGTATAAGTAGATGCTGGGTTTACTTTTTGTTCTTTCTGAGTTCAACATGGCATTTAAATATTGTAGGCAGTTATTTAAATCATTGAAACTTTGGGTATATAAATTAGAAAGGTGTCAGTATAATTGGTGGTATTTTAAGCCATGAGAATGGATTTAATTCCCCAAGAGGAATATTTACAGATTAAAAAGTATAGTGGGCAAAGACTGGAAACCCAAATAAGGTTGATATTTTAGGGATGAGAAAAAAATGAAAGAGTGCAACCACACAGAGTTTTTATATGAAAGTATGTAAATTTAAGAATTTTACTTATATGCTAAATATTCTTAGAGCTCTGAAGATGAGTGGGTTGAGGCTGTTCCCTCCCAGACTCCTGGCAAGGAGAAGGCCTGGAAGATTAAAGATGAAAAGTTAGAAAAAGAAGATAATCAGATTATTCAGGTAAGCCACCTGATTTTAAACAAGTGTGAACTTACAAGAGTAGATGAATGTTAAAATGAAAGATGCGTGTAATTTCTTCAGTAGAAAAATTAGCCTTTGTAAACAACGTAACTTTTACAAGTAATTTGGCAATAATGCAATCTGCTGAGCCTTTGAACTTTGTTTCTTCTCCTGTTGGAAAGTTAGCATTTATCCCTGTTCTAGTCTCTCAGGGTTTTCTGCTTCTGATTGTTGATAGGGAGGTGGTACTTCTCCCCTTATGTACTTGAAGCTTTGTACTGTATGACCTTTCTATAGTTGGTGGAGTTCAAGTCACAGTTTTTCCCTTCACTGCATGCCAGAATTTTATTTGCAATGCTCTTAGTTGAATAGTTCGCTAGTTTTGGGTTATAGTTCATATGCCAAAGAAGAGTGTTATTTTTATATTGTTAGCAACAGTGAAGAAAGAAAGGTGGGAAGAACTAATGTCGGAGTACCTGTTTTGTATCAGGCATTGAGGTAGATGCCTTAAATCAGTTTCTTGTTAACTCCTTACAGCATTCCTGAAATGTAGGTGTTTTTACCCATTTTTACAGGGGAGAGAATAAGGCTTACAGAGACTAAGAAACTTGCTAAGAAATTATACATCTGTGTGGCTTTAATCCAGATTTGAATGCCTCCAGAGTCTCTAAAATTTATTACTAAATGTTTAGTGTTGTTTTAATCAATTTAGATTGAAGTGACTTCTTTTTCTTAACAGAGGGATGAATGGATGACGGTTGATTTTATGTCTGTTAAAACTGTGTCATCATTGTCACTCAAAGCTGAAAAGGAAGCTGCAAGGAAAACACAGCAAGAGAAAACCCAGGCATCTGAACAGGTAAGAGAATATTTAAAATACTTTACCTTTCTAATTTGCCTTTAAGTGATACACATGTATATAAATGCAGTTTTACTTGTAAGATATTATTTTTTGTGATATTTAATAAAATCAGTGGGAACAACTATGAAATGTGATATAAGTTCTTTTAAAATAAATTTTTTGTAGGAAATAAGTATAAATGTATGTTGTATTTATAAATCTAGGGCATATATGGTTGAGTATAGAATTTGATTTACAGCTTTGATTTATAAGGGTTTAGGGCTTGAACTGTGTTATATGTGTGGTCTGAAAATCTTTGAGATAGAATTTAAAGCATTCTTGAGTTAGTAGTGCCTTGAAGTGATTGGCAAAAGTAACTCCTGGTTCTTTCTAGGGGATGACACTGTCAATTTAGGCCTCACATGTCTCTCAGAAACAAGTTCTATGCCATCAAAGGTCATAAGCTAAAATCATAAAATACATGAAAATGTAATGATGGTCTGTGAAGGACATTCACTTGAAACAATAAAGAACAGATGAATGGATAGGGAAGCCGTGGTACATATACACAATGGAATATTACTCAGCTATGAAAAGAAACACATTTGGGTCAGTTCTGATAAGGTGGATGAACCTGGAGCCTATTATACAGAGTGAAGTAAGTCAGAAAGAGAAAGACAAATACTGTGTACTAATGCATGTTTATGGAACTTAGAAGACAGTACCCATGGTCCTACATGAAGGGCAGCAAAGGAGACACAGATTTTGGACTCAGTGGCAGAAGGCGAGGGTGGAATGATTCGAGAGAATAGCATTGAAACATGTACATTACCATATGTAAAATAGATGACCAGTGCAAGTTCCATGCACGAAGCAGCACACTCAAAGCCGGTGGTACTCTGGGACAACCCAGAGGGGTAGGGTGGGGAGGGAGGCGGAAGGGAGGTTCAGGATGCGGGGAGACACATGTATACCCATGGTTGATTCACGTTGATGTACGGCAGAAGCCATCACAATATTGTAAAGTAATTATCCTCCAATTAAATAAATTAATTTTTAAGAAAAGAAATATCTATACCAATAAAAAAAATAAACAACATAATCAGACCCATAAAACCTTTATCTTTTGGAATATTTAATAGCTTTATATAGTAACAGTAGGTATAGGAAATATGAATATGGGATAAAAATTAATAAGGTGGATTTGAGACAGAGCCAGTGTGAACTTGTAGAAATGAAAAATATGAGAGTTGAAATTAGAAAACTTGTAAATGGTCAAACAGCAAACTGAATACAGCTGAAGACAGAATTAGGTAACAACAACAAGCAAATAGTCTTTAAGAATTTACCTTGAGAGCTATGGTATAGCACATGGAACTCTGTCAGTGTTGTACGGTAGCCTGGGTGAGAGGGGAGTTTGGGCGAGAATGGATACACATGTATGTATGGCTGGGTCCCTTCGCCGTTCACCGAAACTGTCACAGCATTGTTTGTAAATCAGCTATACCCTAATACAAAATAAAAAATAAAAAAAAAAATTCACCTTGAACACTGCATAGAGGCACTAATAGATGAAAACTATGAAGGAGTGATCCTGAAGTCCTGTGATCAATTTTTTTTTCTTTTGTTTTTTCCCCTCAGTTCAATTTTAATGTTGAAAATGTTGGTGTGGTAAATTGTATTGGCTTTATAATTAAGGAGCTGCCCATGTGGAACTTTGGGGCCAGGCGTTTTTAGAACACCTTTATTTCTGTTTTGTCTCTGAGTTAGACCTGAAGAAGTTGGGACTCAAGGGGAAAGTGCCATAAGGAGATATCCAGTGGATAGTAGAGCAAGAAGGAGGAGCTGTATGACGTCAGCAAGTTGATTTTACCTGTTGCCATTACATGCTTGCTTCTGAAATCATGCTCTGCTCTTTGTAGGCATGAGCAGTCTGATCTGTCAGGGTATCCCTGGCTTAGGATCTTAGGTTTTGCACGTATTCAAGCCTGTTCTCTATATCAACAGAATGTTGTAAACTCTTCAGTATTTTTAAGTAGATTGAAATAGTGATTAGTTTTTCTTAGAAATACTACAGAAAACCTTTCCTTTCCTAAGAAACTGTAGTACTTTGTCATGCTTATCAACTTTCCAGCATTGAAGTACAGGCTTTCTAATTATTATAGTCTTTTCTTATAAATTCTTATGTAAAAACTTATCTGATTCAAGTAAGTTAGCATCTGTTGGTCTGCTCATTTGATAATCTAGATTTTGTCTTTTGCACCTGTATCATCATTTCCACTCCTGTCCTGCTCCTCTAGTTTGAATGCCAGTTGTTAGTTGTATGTCTTCTCTCCGCCTCATTTATGTCCTCTCTTCCAGAGCTGAGTTAGTATGTGTAGGGACTGAGGAGAGCCCCTGAAACTAAGACACATACAAGGTTAAATATTATTGTGGTTCAGGCCCTAGTTTACTCTTGCCTGGGCAGTTACAATAACCTCTTTTTTTTTTTTTTTTGTCCCCAGCAGCCTGCAGCTGATGTCAGATTAACTTTTTCAGAGTACAGCTTCTGTCATGGTCTTATTACTCTGTTTAGAAGTCTTCAGTGATTCAAGTTAATGAGAATGTGTCTTTGCCATTTCTAATATTTCCTTTTCCACAGATGAAGCTCCACTAGTGGTGTTTCATGCTCTACCCTCCTTCCTCATTCTGTCCTTGAGGATATGAAGTACATTTTCTGTTAGAAAATTTGCAAAGAATAAACTGGGCATGCTTGGCTTAGCCCTGCCTTTCCTTCTTATGGAACAGACTGCCTGCAGAGATTGTGTGGCGATTGAGATGATGGGGTTAGTTCAGTGCATTCTGCACCTGGGAAAGTCTGCCTCATTGCAGGGTTCAATTAACAGATGCATTTGGTGTCCACTGAAAGAAAAATTCCACTTTAGCCTTCATTAACAGTAAAGGTGATTTTTGTCTTTTATTTCCTCTTCTTTGTGTGTGTGTGTGTGTGTGTGTGTGTGTGTGTGAGTGAGTGAATGTATGTTTCTTAACCTTGCTCAGAGCCAAGATCGAAAAGAAAGGTGCTATATTTATTGTTCTTTTCTAAAGACCTCAAGATGCTGCCTGCAAATGGAGTCCAAACAGATTGGACTCTTCTTTTGTGTGATTTGCACCTCAACCAGAATAGTTAAGTACTTTGTGTTTTTCTGCAAATTCCTGTCTCAGAATTTTTGCTCATCTGGATTTTTCTAACTATATGCCCTCTATCTCTGTATGGCTACATCTTGTTTATCCTTCAAGGCTTAACTTGATATATATGGTGAAATTCTTACTATTTCCCTTGATTGAAATAAATCTCTTCTTCTTTTTGTTTCCATAGTACTTTATTTGTTCCTTTACTTTATAGTACTTGTAATTTTCTATAAAGTGCTCTAATTTAATAGTCTTATTTCCCTTATGAAATTATAAACTTTTTGGAAAGCTATATGTGCTGCTTTATTTCTTTTATACATTTGAAAGGGAAGAATATTTATTATTCTTTTACCCATGAATTTATTTTGCTGCCTTGTAGATACCTGGCTTTAGTCCTGGTGTTTGATAACCTGTAGTACTTTTTCATTTTTGCATAGGTAAAAATTCAGATTATTGTTCAGGGGTAAATCATCTAGACTAGTTAGTGAGACTAGCCAGTTTTCAAACATCCACAGATCAGTTTGAGTATGTTGTGCCTGGTACATCATCTTATTCTCTTTTTTCTTTCTTCAGATGATGGTTAGCATTTTTATTTTTGTAATTGGTATTTAAAAGCTTTATTGTGTTTTTAATTTAATTTTTTATTGAATTGTGGTTTGCATACAATATTAGTTTCAGGTGTACAACATTGTGATTCAGTATTTTTATAGATTATAAAATAGTGGCTATAATTCCTTGTGCTGTACAGTATGTCCCTGCAGTTTATTTTATACATAGTAGTTTGTGCATCTTAATCGCCTACCTCTGTTGAATCCCTTGACATTACCTTTCCTTACTGGTGACACTGGTTTGTTCTGTGAGTCTGTTTCTGTTATTCATTTGTTTCATTTCACAGATAAGTAATAACTGCAGCATTTGTCTTTCTCTGTCTTGGCTTATTTCACTAAGCATAATACCTGTCATCCATGCTTTGGCAAATGGCAAAATTTCCTTCTTTTCTTACGATTGAGTAACATTCCAGTATGTGTGTGTATCACAACTTGTTTATCCATTCATCTGTTGATGGATACTTAGGTTTCTTCAATACTTGGGCTGCAGTGAACAATTCTGATATGAACATTGGAGTACATATATCTTTTTGAATTAGTCTTTCATTTTCTTTGGCTATATACTCAGGAATGGAATTTCTGGATCATACAGTAATTCTATTTTTAGTTTTTTGAGGAACATTCATACTGTATTCCATAGTGGCTGTATGAATTTACATTCTTACTTACTATGCACTAGGATTCTCTTTTCTCCAAATCACCAACATGTTATCTGTGGCCTTTTTGATGACAGCCGTGTTAACAGGTGTGGAATGATGTCTCACTGCGGTTTTGATTTGCAATTCCACGGTGATGAATGACGTGGAGCGTTTTGTTGTGTGTGTGCCATCTGTGTTCCCTTTGGGAAAATGTCTGTTCAGATCTTCAGACCGTTTTTTAATTGAGTGGTTTACTTTTTGGTATTGAGTTGTAGAACTGTTTGTATATTTTAAATATTAACCCGTTGTCAGAAATATTATTTGCAAATGATATGACCAACATCTTAGAGATTGATTCTGTTGATATATTTTATTTCCATGTCATTCCTTGTATTCACTCCCTAGTCTTTCACAATCTAACTCTGTCATTTTGTAGACTTCCATTCCTCTTGTTGTTTTTCATTCTGACAGACTGTTAACAAGCAGTGCTAAGTTTCTCCATAGTACATATTTAGAAATGAAATTGCTAAGTTATGAAGTATGCACCTATGATGTATGCAAGTTCTTTACAGACACTTGCAAACAGTAGTATCAGTGTAATGTCCCCCAACAGTATTTGTTTCTTTGCCATACTTAGTGGCTGTATTGTCATACTTAATTTTTGTCATGCTAATTAATGTGTAAGAAATTGTATTTTGTGAGTTAATATGTGTTCCTCTGATTACGAGGAGAGACCTCTTCACTTTTTTTCTGTCATTTAGATTTCTAATAGTATGAGCGGCCTGTTTATGTTTTCTGTTAGTTTTTGTTCTGGGGTTGTCTTTTTCTTACTGGTAGTAGTTCTTCATATATTCAGTCGTGTGTCTTTGTTGTACTTTCGGGTGGTATGTCGTAATTTGTATTACTTGTTGTCAGTTGTCCACCTCAGTGTGTAGTTTTAGTCTTTGTTATCCTGTTGAGTATCCGATCTGTATCTCTTTGAGTGTCTAAGAGCACTGGAAGGAATTTCTTGATTGTAGATACTATGACATTTTATAGCAGACTAAAAAAGGAGGTGACTGAATCTTTTTGTGTACCCTATAAGAAGTCAAATCATACTATTTTGCTTATCCCTCCAAGTTAACCTTTAACTAAAATTTTTTGCTTGTTCTTGATTTTTTCTATTTTTTGGCTTGCAACACGTGAGATCTTAGTTCTCACACAAGGGATTGAACCTGCTTCCTCTGCAGTGGAAACGTGGTATCTTAACCTCTGGACTGTAAAGAAGTCCCTAACTTAAATTTTGTTCATTGAAGATTCTGTACTTTTTTGTCAGCTCATGAATATGTTTCAAATGCTTAAAAAAATTTTTTTCACCAAACAGTTTTGTTTTCAAATGTTGGTTTATATTACTAGAAACTAACGTTTAATTCCTTCCATTTTTTTCTATCCAATAGCCTTTATTATTTCTAGTAATTGCAGGTTTTAGTTCTAAGGAGCATTTTCTGACCCCTAAGTCAAATTGGATATCCCTAGTGTATGTTTCTGTAGTAGCCTTCAATTTCATAGCGCTCATTTCTCTTAATATTGCTGTCCTTCTCCTTTCCCGAGGCCATAATTTCTTTGATGGTAAGAACTGTGCCTGGTTTGTTAAGTATAGCCTCAGTGCCTAGCATCCCTCGTGACTCCGTGGTAGAGTCCACCTGCAATGCAGGAGACACGGGTTTTATCCCTGGGTCGGGAAGATCCCCTGGAGAAGGAAATGGCAACCCACTCTAGTATTCTTTCCTGGAGAATCCCATGGGCAGAGGAGCCTGGCAGGCTACAGTCATGGGGTCGCAAGAATTGGGCATGACTAGCGACTAAACCACCGCCACTAGTGCCTGGCATAGTGCTTGGAGCACGGTAGACTCCTGCATTGTTACTAGGTTATTATCTTCTCTTTCCTGATTACTGCCACAGTTTTCTGATTGGTTTCCTACCTCTAATGTTGCTCTTCTCCAGTGTTTTGTCCACTCTGAAACCAGTTTGCTCTTTGTATAATACAAGCTGATCATTTTTATGACTCACCATTGCCCCAGCATAAAGCTCCAATAGCTGTTTCAAGTGGCTCCTGTGACTTAGTCTCTGATTATTGTGCAGCCTAATCTCTTGTTGCTACTCATTCATGCTTCTAAAATTTTAGTTAAGTCTGAATTACTTTCTTTCCTGAAACTGCAGTGCTTTCCCTTTCCTCTCAGATTTTATGAACGTGCTTTTATTCTTGTCCTTGGCTGGCACACCTTAATGCTCTCAGTACCTACAAAAGAAACTGGCTAATTCTTGCTCATCATTAGGTTTAATGCTACTCATATTACTTCCTCTAGGAATTCTTTGATTCGTCAGCATGAGAGGAGTTTGAATTGTGTATGGTTTTAGCACTCTGTACTTCTGTCTTCAAAGCGCTTGTCAGTTACTTGTATATTGTCTACATTCCTCACTATCTTATAAGCTAGCAAGGGCTGAGTTAGCCATATTGACTGTTTTATCTTCTGCGTCTAACACAGTTCTGATTCATGGTGGCATTCAGTAAGAACATTGAATAAATGTTAATTTAGACATTATTTCCTCCAAGTTGGAAAAAGTGTGTCTTACGAGTGTTTTTATCAGTTGCTTCACTTGCTATTATATTCTCCCACTCTGAAGGCTGTCCTTTCACCTTGCCTATAGTTTCCTTCAATGTGCAAAGGCCTTTAAGTTTAATTAGTCCCACTTGTTTATTTTTGCTTTTATTTCCTTTACTCTGGGAGGAGAGGGTGGGATGATTTGAGAGGACAGCATTGAAACATGTATATTACCATATGTGAAATAGATGACCAGTCCAAGTTGGATGCATGAGACAGGGCACTCGGGGCTGGTGCACTGGGATGACCCGGGGGGATGGGATGGGGAGGAAGGTGGGAGGGGGGTTCAGGGTGGGGGACACATGTACACCTGTGGCTGGTTCATGTCAGTGTATGGCAAAAAACCACTACAATATTGTAAAGTAATTAGCCTCCAATTAAAATAAATAAATTGGAAAAAAAGAATGTTTTAAACATTTCCCTAAGTTTACAATTATTAACGGAGTCCCAGATTTTAATTTATTAATACATTTTATAGTGGGGTTATTTTAAAATTGTGACCTCTAAAAATGTTTTATTTCAGTCCAGATTGCTGGAAAGAGAATTGAATCCTTACTGGAAGGATGGTGGGACAGGTCTTCCACCAGAAGACTGTAATGTGTCATCCATTACGAAAGGTATCTTTATATTTTGCTTGTAGCCTCATAAGCATTTCTTATAACTTGGTATTCCTAAGAGAATGCCCTGAGTCTGCTACTAGATTGGCACAAGGTATTATGAGTTCCAAAAATGAATAACAACCCACATCAGATTTTGAGATGTATTAAATCTAAATTTTATCACTACTTATTTAAATATTTCTACTTGATGCTATAATTTTGATCAAGCCTGAAAGCATCTGTGTCTGTTTATATATTCGCAAAACAATGATGTTTATTGATTTTTTGATGTGAAATTTGTATGGTTTTCTATTATGAACATCTATGGATTATTACTTAAGGTTCAGTTTACATATAGGAAAGCAATGATTAAAACATTTGCATTCTTTTAAAACCTTATTTAAATTATTAGTATTTGGCAAGATTATTTTACTTCGGATATGGTAGCAAATTAATTAAATATTTTTATACTCGATAATATTTTTATATTTGAGTTTATATTTTGAATGGATTAATGAAAAACATGGTTCTGTAAAGATACTATATTGCTTTGGTTTGTTACATTCTGTGTGTGATGTATGCACGCTCAGTTGTGTCTGACTCTTTGTGACCCCGTGGTTTATAGCCTGTAGGCTCCTCTGTCCATGAATTTTCCAGGCAAGAATACTGGGGTGGGTTGCCATTTCCTCCAGGAATCTTCCCAACCTAGGGATCAAACCCGCCTTTCTTTTGCCTCTTGCATTGGCAAGCCGGTTCTTTAGTGCTACACCACCTGGGAATCCCTTTACAAAATGTATAAAGCATTAATGTTGTAAAGTTTCATGAAAATTATGTATAAATATTAAATATGTGAATTCATATCTTCAGAAATTTTTAGTTTGCCACCATGTATAAATTTGTGTTGACCTTAGGATAGTGCTGTTGCTTTCCAGCAGATGGAGAGAAAATACTTAAGCCAATCACACATAATTTAAAAAGTACTTATATGCCAATTAAGTGTTACATTGACAACTCAATGAAAAGTTTAATTAATTACAATTAACCAAGTATACACATAGTAATATTATAAACTGTTATCTTTTCATCTTAGTGATTTCTCAGAAGAATATTCTCCTTCTTTTTATACACAGTGCATTTTTATTTTGGCCATTTGCCATGTTCCTTTGTATTTTATCAGAGATGTCCCTGGAGCCACCTTATAGGTTCCTTTTTATTTTGTATTGATGTTATTAGTAATTATAGCATTTTCTTTATTACCTTTCAGCATGGGCAGAAATATTTCTGCTGGGCTATATAATAACTGTAGTCATATAAAGGTGTCTTTGAAATACTGATTTTTAGAAATTTAAGAGTTTGAGGATCATAAGTTTTCTCAGTGAACCATTATGTAGGACTGAACAAAGCCTTTACCATCCCTGTGTTCACAGGACAGTCAATAAGTTCATCTATGGGAAAGACTTAGAATTGATAAATCCTGTCTTTGAGTATATGTAGTCAGCAGGTTCTTCACTGATTGAAGACCCATAGTTCTACCCTAAGTAGTATCTTTCAGCTGGCTGAACCAGCAGAATCAAAGGCACTAAGAGAAAAATTGCCTTACATAAAGGCTTTAGAGAGCCTGTCTCTGCTCCCTTTCACATCACGCTCTCACCATTTCCCTCTCATATTTACTTAGGAGGAAGAATGGCAGAAAGCTCCGAATGTCTGTCAGACATTCATATCCCAGAGTTGAAATTAAGCTTTAAAAAAGGATCTACAGGTTTTTTGCTTTTTTTTTTTCCCGTATGCAGATAATATAGTCATTCTTTCTAAACTAGTGGTAGAATTGAAACTATGAGACACCTGAAAGTATTAATACTATAACAGTAGTATTAAGAATGTATGTAGAGCTGATGTTTATATCAAAGGACTTAAGACTTTGGAGTTTGACTTCTTGAGGTTAGAATTTTGGCATTTCTGCTTATTCGTTCTGTAATTTGGGGAATGTTTCCTGACCTCTGTGAGCCCAGTTTAAACATAGTAGGGAGTAATAGTAATTCCAAGTCTTATATGGTTATTGTGAGAATTAAATGAGAAAAATCTTTTATCACAGTATCTAGAACATAGTAAATAATAATGATGATGTCAAATAATTGTCCTTATGATGAAATGTTTTGAGAAGATTTTATCAACAGATTTTTTGTGTGTGTGATGATTGAAGTGCCACATACACAATAATTAATGTTACTCTTGATATTTTTTTCCTTAGAGAAAGTTAAGTGAAAAAGTAAGCATGTTTTCATTGTCCATGAAAAATTGTCTTCAGTCATGTTTTAGTAATGGGAACATTTGTACAATTTTTAAGTTTACATGGAACATTTTTGTATTAGCTCATTTTCAATAGCAGCCATGCGAGAGTAGCAAAGTAGATGTCCCAATTGATTATAGTTTATCTAATTTTCAGGAAACTAAGACTGAAATTGGTCAAGTTATTTGCCTATAGTCATGTGAGTACTAGGACCCAGCTTTTCTTTCTAATTCTAATATAGGGTTAGTTACTCTAAATTTTCATTAGAAGACTGTTACTGTGTAGTTAGTGAGAATTCTTGCTTTAAATCTCAGTATTTTTTTCATCACATAGACTTTTCCCTCTTCATTTTTTGGCTTTCTCTTATAGAACCTTTAGAGAAAAAATTTAAAAGTTAATTTAAATCAACTCTCTTATTTTACAGATGGACAAAATTTAAAGGCATTAGTGAGTTGCTTAAGATCTTACAACTATTTAGTAATAACAACAAGACTAAAATTTAGATCTCCTGGTACTAACTTTATTGCTATTTTCGTATTATTCTGTCTTCTGAGAAAAATGAGGATGTAGCCCAATTCACTTGATTGTATTCTGTCTGTAACAGTTCAGCTTTTAATTTTAGAAGCATATGCTCAGCCTTTTAATTTTTGACTTATAAAAAACAGCCTTTGGACATAGTCAATATTAAGTGCTTCATGGACAATTCCCTGGTAGAGGGCATGGCAACTCACTCCAGTATTCTTGCCTGGAGGATCCCATGAACAGAGGAACCTGGTGGGCTATAGTGCATAGGGTTGCAAACAGTTGGACATGACTGAAGTGACTTAGCATGCATGCACATACCAATGAATTTACTGTAATTATTTGATATATATTTATCTCAGAGAGAGGACAGGAACCATGCCTTATTCGTGATTTTTTTCGTTTGTTTATAAAAGTTATATTTTTAATAAGCTGATACCTCATTCACCCCTGTTTCACCCCCTTATTATGCTTTGATTTCCTTCTGTGTCTAACAGATTTTCTTATTCATAGTAAATATTCACAAAATACATGTTGGGTTTAATTTTTTGATAGATGCTACTGCAAATTGATATTTTTGTTTGTAAATATTAAATTCATGAATTCTCTTGTTAAAAATATTTTATTATTGCTGCTGGGGCCAGGGTTATGGGCCTCAATTGCATATTATTATTATTTTTTAATGAATTTTATTAGAGTCGAGCCCCCTGTGCTGCGCAGCAGGTCCTCCTGCTCTCGCGCACAGCAGTGTATGTGTGTCAGTCCCGCTCTCCCGGTGCTTCCCACCCTCCCTTCCCCCTTGGCGTCCGTTGTTTGTTCTCGACATTTGTATCTCTGTTTCTCCTTTGCAGATAAGCTCATCTGTACCATTTTTCTAGATTTCACATATGAGGGATAATTGCACAGTTGTGTCCAACCTTTTGTGACTCCATGGACTGTAGCCTGCCAGGGCTCCTCTGTCCATGGAATTCTCCAGGCAAGAATTCTGAAGTGCGTTGCCATTTCCTTCTCTGGGAGATTCCACATATAAGTGATATTTTTCTCTTTCTGACTTGTTTCACCTATGACAGTCTCTAGGTCTGTCTGCGTCTCTGCAAATGGCACTATTTCATTCCTTTTTATGGCCGAGTTATATTCCATCCATTGCATATAAGTACCACATCTTCTTTATCCATTCATCTGTCATTGGACATTTAGGTTATTTACATGTCCTGACTGTTGTAAATAGTGCTGCAGTGAGTATTGGGCTACTTGTCTGCTTTTTAATTATGGTTTTCTCAAGATATATGTCCAGGAGAGGGATTGCTGTGTCATATGGTAGTTCTCTTTTTTATTTTTCTTACAGGAACCTCCATACTATTTTCCATAGTGACTGTATCAATTTACATTGATACATTGTTTGAAGATTTTTTAATGATAGCCATTCTGACTGGTGAGAGGTAGTAGTTTCGATTTGCATTTCTCTAATAATGAGAGATGTTGAGCGTCTTTTCATGTGCTTTTTGGCCATCTGTATGTCTTTGGAGAAATATCTGTTTAGATCTTTCACCCATTTATTCATTGAGTTTATTTTTTTGATATTGTGCTACATGAGAAGTTTGTATATTTTGGAGGTTAATCCTTTGTCAGTTGCTTTGTTTGCAAATATTTTCTCCCATTGTGAGGGTTCTCTGTGTTTTGTTTATAGTTTCCTTCACTATGTAAAAGTTTTGAAATTTAGTTAGATCCCACTTGTTTATTTTTGTTTTAATTTTCTTTTCTGTTGGAGGTGGATCAAAAAAGACCCTGCTGCAGTTTATGTCAAGGAGTCTTCTACCTGTGTTTTCCTCTTAAGAGTTTTATAGTGTTCAACCTCACATTTAGGTCTTTGATCCATTTTTAGTTTATTTTTATGTGTGATGTTAGGGAGTATTCTAATTTCATTCTTTTATATGTAGCTGTCCAGTTTTCCCAGTACCACTTATTAAAGAGACTGTCTTTTCTCCATTGTATATTCTTGCCTCCTTTGTCATAGATTTGGTGACTGTAGGTGTGAGGGTTTATCTTTAGGCTTTCTGTCCTGTTTCATTTCTATCCTGTTTCTGTTTCTGTTTTTGTGCCAGTATTGAATTGTCTTGATGACTGTAGCTTTGTCGTATAGACTGAAGTCAGGGAGCCTGATTCTTCCAGCTCCATTTTTCTTTCTCAAGATTGCTTTGACTTTTTAGAG